TCAGCCGCTGGGGATTCCCACCACCCAGGTCCCGAGCCCCAGAGCCACCTAGAGATGTCCCACACACATCCCTCTTCCTGATTTAAAGATCCCGAAGGATGGAACTTGTTGGAAACGGCCCTGGATCTTTTTCTCCGCGCCCGCAGCCGTCAGAACCCTAACCCCAACCATCCCGAGGAGCGCTCCTCATGCCCCTCCTCATCCTCAGAGAGGCGGGCTGGGCTCTCCCTCAGTCCCCTCAGGGTCCCAGCCACGCTGGGCACCAGAACAGACCACTGACCACCTGCCCCACCGGCTGGGAAGGGCCACAGCCGGCGCTGCCACTCAGGCTGGGGGAGGGGATCGGGCGGAGAGGGGGCTGCTGGGAGAGTGGGAGGGCCCCTGCGCTCCAGGGCCCAGGCGGGTCCCCGCTGCCCCTCTGTGTTGTGCAATGAGCTCCTCAGCAACCCCCTGCGAGCACCGGTGGGTGCCCCCACTTCCCAGCCTGGGCTCGGAGCTCCGGACACCCGCTCAGGATGGGGTCAGGCTGAGTCTCCGCCCCCAGCTTCTTCCCCCTCTCAGTCTCTGGCCCCCACCTTTCCCCCTCCCTTCCTCTCCGGGTCAGCCCTCTTCCTATCTACCCCCCCCCCCCCCACTCCCCCTACAGACCTCTACCTCTAGGTCTGCCTCCACCTCCCCCATGGTCTCTGCGCCCCGCTCGCCTCTGGGTCTCTGCCCCCACCCCTCCCCCAGCTCCCTCTAAGTGAGGATGCCCTTGTTGGGTGACCCCACATTCCCGCCTCACTGGGGTCGGGAGGCCTTCCTGCCTGGTGTGGGAGCCCTGCCCCCACCCGAGTTCCCGGCAGCCTCTGCCGGCGTCCCGCAGCTGGCCCTCTGCCGGGCCTCCTCCTCGGACCCCTCCCCCAGCCCCAGGCCCGATTTAGCTCCTTTAATCTTCCCTGTCATCCAATCCGGCCGTTTCCTGGGCACACACTGCACTTTCCAAACTGCCCGTCCCTGGAGAGGGGCGAGGGCAGGGCGGCCTCAGTCGCTTGTCCCTGCTCTGCCGGCCCTCCTGCTGTACCCCCTCCCTTCTCCCACCCCGCGGAGGTCCCAGGGAGCTCCGGCTGCGCGGGCCTCTGCCGTCAGGCCTCCGCTAGCCAGCCCGGGCCTGAGACAATCCTGACTCCTCACCTGGTGCTTCCCCACCTCCGGGCTTCCCCGATGCTGTTCCCTCTGCCTGGAACACCCTCCCCTCCACAGTGCATTTCCTCCGCTGGAACTCTCAAATTCCACAGGACAGATTCTGGAACCAGACCGCCTGGGTCCTGGGGCCCTAAACCCTGCTCTGCCTCTTCCTAGCTGTGTGACTTTGAGCCAGTTGCTTCCCTCTCTGTGTCTGCATTGCCTCATCTGTAAATAGGGATCATCCTAGTGCAGACCTCAGAGGCTCACAGTGACTGTGAGGATTAATTATTCTATGTCAAGTGCTTAGAACAGTTCTGGGTACACAATAAGTGCTAGTTAAGTGTTAAATGAAAATTATCTTTTCCTGCCTGGTATGACAATGACTTTATTTCCTCCAAGTGAAGACACCAGGAACTGTGAAACACTTCATTTGTTTAATGACATCATTTCGGGGCGGGGGGGGAGGGAAGAAACATGACCACGGGAAATGCACACACTGTCTATAAGACACCTTCCAGCTTCATACATGTGTCAATTGCTCAGTAACCCTATTGGTGTAGCATAGCGGTCTCTTCGCTTCTGCCCCGACGGTCCCTGCAGCCTCGTGCGCATTCATCGCCTATGATCGGTGCCCAAGGGCTCGAGTTCGAGTCCTTATGCCAGGATTGCATTTAGCTGCGCGACTTTAGGTAAGTTCTTTGGCTCATTTAAGTCTCGATTTTTCCTAAATAGCCAAGATAACTCTCAACGATTGTAAGGAATATTAAGCGAGACAATACACATTTAGGGCACTTAGTGTTTCATTGGATATTCAACACAGGAGAGCTCTCATTATCGTGATGATTTAAAAACGTTCGTTGGATTGACTCGCGGCTCTCGGAAGGCGCGGGAAGCGAGAGAGCTGGTATCTCATGGTCGAAGTGCCCTCCAGTGGCCATATGGGGGAACTGCAGGCTTCCCGATGCGCTGGTGGGGGTGGTCCCTCCTTTGCTGGTCCAGGAACTAACTCAGCCACCCCCACCCCCAGGCCAAGCTTGTCCGACCCTCCTGGAATTCTTCACGTTATCTTTCCTTTTACAGAGGCTTTAAGGGGCTTTTCAAAAGTACTTAATAGGATAAGAGACTCAGGGCAGAAGTTTAGTCCAGTATGGCTACAGCAGGAACAGGCACCATCTCTCAAAGCTTGTGGGCCCAGGCCCTGTGGCCGGAAGGGACAATGATGGAGTGCTGTGTGCTGGGCATCAGTTGTCCTCTGGCCTGGACACTGGGATCTGGCTTCTGTGCTTTGCCAGGTTTGTCATTTAATCGCTCACGCACCCTTCCTTCCTTCCTTCCTCCCTCCCTTCCTCCTTCCCTTCCTCCTTTCCTTCCTTCCTTTTCTTCCTCCATCCGTCAATATTTATTGAATACTGGCTGCTTCCAAGCCTCACATCCTAGGTGCAGGGGGTTAAAGAGATCAATCAAACACAGACACAGACACAGCCGCCAAGAGTCGTTCACAATGTCCCAGACACCACATGCAGAGTTAATCCCTGCTCTTGAGTGTTTACGGCTCTGCTGTGAGGCTGAGTGGGAGGGCAGGGCAGCAACACCAGACCCAGGCTGCCTCATTCCCCCTGAGGAAATGTGTCCATAGTGGAAGGCTTGTCTGGCCAGGTTAGGGGCTGACTGCCTCCTCCTGGGCCACACCGCTCCCCTGAGAAATGCTCCCCATCTCAGACATGGACCAACTCCTGGCTCCGCCTGCATCAGGGTCCCTCATCCGCCCTCCTTTTCCCCACCAATGCCCTTTGCCCAGGGCCCGGGGCTGGAGTCAGGGGAGAGTGAGGTGTTTTTAACCCACCCTTGTAATGGATGGCCTGGGTAGGGATCTTACTCACCCAATACTTAGCATCCAAAGCCAGCTCAGTGGCCAGCTCCCCACTGTCCAGGATTGAGAAAGGAGCCTAACTCTAGAGACGGTGCACGAGAAGGTAGCTGGAGGTGCCCAGGGCCCGACTTTTGGAAGACGGCAGGAGAGGGAAGAAGGACTGGGTGAGAGACGTGTGCATTGTTCCTGGGATTCCGTTACCTCCTTGAGCTGCCATCCCCCCTCCTTCCCTTCATGATCAAACTTCTCAGATGTCCTCCCATCCCTTCCTCAGGACCCCCTTGCTTGCTCTGAATTGTTCCGTTTCCTCAGAAGTCTTCCCAGCTGCACAGGGTCCCCTCAACTCCTAGACCAGTGCTGTCCGACAGAGATGTAATGGGAGCCACATATGTCACTTCAAATGTTCTTATAGCCACATTTTAAAAAGGTAAAAGATGGAGCCGGGCCGGTGGCACAAAGGTTAAGTTCGCATGTTCTGCTTCTCGGTGACCCAGGGTTTGCTGGTTCGGATCCTGGGTGCGGACATGGCACGGATTGGCAAAACCCATGCTGTGGTAGGCATCCCACATATAAAAGTAGAGGAAGATGAGCACGGATGTTAGCTCAGGGCCAGTCTTCCTCAGCAAAAAGAGGAGGATTGGCATCAGTTAGCTCAGGGCTAACCTTCCTCAAAAAAAAATAAAAAATAAAAAAAAAGTAAAAGAAACAGGTGAAACTAATTTTAATAATATAGTATATTTAACCCAATTTACCCAAAATATTATTTCAACATGTAATCAAAATTTAAAAATGGACATATATTAGATATTTTGGGGGGTAATCCAATATGTATGTTATCGTATATGCTTAGCCTTTCTCAGTTCGGACTAGCCACATTGCAAGTGCTCAGTAGCCACATGGGGCTGGTGGGTGGTGTATTGGGCATCATGGTTCTAGAATCTTCACTTGCTACATGGCATACATGCTTTCACTATGGGTGGTTAATCTCATCCCCACGTGTCCTGTCTCCCCAGGGAGATTAGCAGCCCCCGGGTCAGAGTCCTCATTTCACCCATCCCCGTATCTCCCTTGGCACCTTAAAGGTGTGCGCTGCGCTCTGCAGGCCCTCCAAGCATATTTGTTGATGGGAGTGAGCTGGGGATTGATTTCTTGTGGTTTAGTTATGGCTGTAAATGGTGTTTTATAGATTGCTTCTGTAGATGCACCCTGCTGCAATATTAGCAGAAACAAGCAGCCGAGGCTGTCAGCACAGGCGGAGGCCTCAGGGCAGATGGGGCTCTCTCAGGCAGGGGAAATCCTGCCAGACCACATACCATCTCTCTGGCTTAAGAGCCTGTCATTGCCACCGCGGTCTCCTCCCTGCAGCCCCATCTCCCTTAGACCTCGAGATAGCCCTGGTCAGGGTGCATTACACAAAGGATGTGTCTCCAGCATCCCACGCCAGGCTGGGAGCTCCTGGGGGCAGAAAAGGACTTATTCAGGTTGACAAGAGCCCGGCCCACAACAGACACACAAAACACGCTTGTTGAATGAATAAATGAATGGACAGCTGGAGCCAGCGAAGCCTCTCATTCATGTATTCATGCTCCCAGAAAATCTTTACAGAGCACTTAAAACGTGTCAGGCACTGGGCTAGCCCTGGGGCTTCAGCAGGGAGCAAGGCAGACGTGGGCTGCGCCCTCTGGAGCACCTCTTCTGGTGGTGGAAACAGAGTGAAGAGGTAAACACACAAATAAAATAATTAGCACACTGACTGGGGATGGAAACGGAGGGGCCCAGAGGACGGGGAATGAGGGCTGGGTTGCTTCCTCCTGGACTATAGGACGCCCTCCCCCCAGGTCCGGGGTCATCATTTAGACACTGGCCACAGTAGGCTAGCCTGAGGCTCGGGGACTGTAAGGACATTACTGTTTCAAATGCATTGATGATGTCATAATGGGCCGTGTGGGTGGACTGAGGACCCTACGAGTTTGAGCAGAGGGCCGAGGCAGCCGGGGGAGCTGGCAGAGAAAGGCAGCAGGTCCAGCTGGTCGGTGTCCACTCGGACTCAGACACGCTCGCCCCGGACACACTCGGCCCGGCCCAGGAGGAGGTGAGCGGGTCACCATGGCGCTCAGCCTCTCCGCCACATCCATTCCCAGCAACTGGTTCCCAGGCTACCCGGAGGTAATGGACCTGTCTCTCTGTCCATCTTTGGTGGGAGTGTCCGGCCAGTGCAGAGGGCCAGCGTGTGCGTCTTGTGCTGCCTTAGGAATTGCGGAGATAAAAAGATGATTGGGAAATGACCCCTGCCCTCCTTACTGACAAATTAGACCTGAGCATGTGGCCTCCCGGAACAACGCTCGTCATGCTGTCGCCTAGCTTTGCAGGAGCGGGGTGCTGAGTGTTGCTGAATCTTCCCCAAAGCCCTATCTAGTTCCCCAGCTTCTCTTCGTGTCATCCCACGACATAGACTGAGATCAAGGGCAGCCCACCCACTGGCACTTGTGCTTCTGAGAATCTAGGTTAGCGTTTCTCAAGGTCGTCTAAGGACAGCAGAATTATTTGCAGCACAGGTTAAAAATGCACATCCCTGGGCCTCGGTCCAAACCTTCCAAAGCAGAATTTTCAAGTGTGGGGCTCATGAGTCTGCATTTTTAAAAGCCCTCCAGGGAATTCTTATCCTGAGCACTGCCCCGGAGATTAAACACCTTCCAGAGGTCCCAAGTCCCATGTCTGGCTGACCAGGGTGGGTGAGTTTCTCTGTCTGAGATGAGTGTTGGCTTTGATTTTTTTTTTTTTTTGAGGAAGACTCGCCCTGAGCTAACATCTGTTGCTAATCTTCCTCTTTTTTTTTGCTGAGGAAGATTAGCCCGAGCGAGCATCTGAGCCAATCTTCGTCCACTTCATATGTGGGTCACCGCCACAACCTAGCTGTCCAGTGGTGTATGTCCACGCCCAGGATCCTAACCTGTGAAATGGGGCCGCCAAAGTGGACCACACCAAACTTAACCACTGTGCCAAGGGGTGCCCCCTTTGATATTTTTATTATTGATGAGAAGCCATGATTCCTAGGCTGCTGGTGTCCAGCTGGCCGCTTGGAAGGAATCAGAGACCGCTGAGAACAGAATTTATCTTTTCGACCCATCCATAAAATGCTTACCTGAGCAGACACTGTTTAAAGGCCATTAAAATACCAGACACAGAATAACCCAGTCCCTGGGACTTTATAGACATATTTACTCAAAGCCAAGTGCTTGCAAAGAGTAAATAAAAGGGAAGCAAAATGAGCGAGCACCCCTAGAAAGACGAACTGAAAGTCAACAGCCCTGGTCACTAAAATAAACAGCACAAATCCAGCGAGGATTAAATGACCTCTAGTCAGACAGGCTCAGAGCCAGAAATGCCCCATCATGGTTCCAGAGGAAGGAGAGGTGACCGTCTGTCCCCACCACCTGGGGGTGTGCCAGGATTGCTGCCCTGGGAGGCCCGGCCAGGACTGCAAAGACAGACTTCCCCTTTGGGGGTGTGAGTGCTCCCCAGACCTCCCTGGGAACATGCCAGGGCCTGAAAATCTCCCAGATTAAAGTCAAGAAGTGTGTCCCAAGGCCTCTGATAAAATGCACATTTTCTGAAAGTGTAGCACTTCAAGTCTCTATTATCTGCCATTTATTCACTACTTTAGCGAACTTTGTTTAGCACTTGCTGGGTTTCAGGCCTGTGACAGGCACTATAGATATCAGGATGAGGAAAGCAGAAACCCGCCCCCGAGTGGCTCGTGGTTTCCTATGAGATAATAATGGAGAATATTTATTGCTCGCTATTTGACAAAGTTAATGAGAAGCATGCTATGTGCATTGTCTTATTTAATCCTCATAACATTATCAGGTTATTCTGTTATCTTCCCCTATTTTACAGATGAGGGAACTGAGGCCCAAAGTGGTATGATGGTACCTTTTTTTTTTCCCCAAAGATTGGCACCTGAGCTAACAACTTGCCAATCTCTTTTTTTTTTTGGCTTTTTCTCTCCAAATCCCTCCCAGTAGACAGTTGTATACTTTTAGTTGTGGGTTCTTCTAGTTGTGACATGTGGGATGCTGCCTCAACATGGCCTGATGAGCGGTGCCATGTCCAAGCCCAGGATCCGAACCAGTGAAACTGAAGCAGAGCGTGCGAACTTAACCACTCGGCCACGGGGCCAGTCCCTGATGATACCTATTTAACAGTTAGCTCTCTGGAAGAAGAAAAAAGCCCTGATTTGTGGTGCTTGCCAATCTCACTAGTGTAAATACTCCCCAGGCCGGTTTCAAGCTACCGGGCCATTGTCGCTGAACATGGAGTCGGAAAGAGATGCGAGTGGGAGGTGGCTCCAGCCACCACTGCACAGACAGCCTGCAGCCCATCCATGGGGGAGTCACGATCTGAGCCCCAGGGTGGCTGTTTCCGAGGCCACGTGCAAAACCACTCTGTTACACGGTCAGCCGCCACACGAGATCGTTGACATCTGAGAGGGAAACATCATGAGACCTCTGTGAAGTGCCAGTTTTACGATCCTCCATAAAACCCCTGGGATTAATCACCAGCGCTTCCCTGTATCTCTTTGTCTTTATCACCAACAGGAGCACGTGGTTTTCTTTTGAGGGCCGATGAAAAAGACTTTATTTTGAAGTAATGATACATTCACAGGAGGCTGCACAGAGTCCTTTGTACCCTTCACCCAGTGTCCCCCCGTGGTTACGTCTTCCACAACTACAGCCCAATCACCACCAGGCAGGTGACATAGGTCAAATGTGTGCGTATAGTTCTATGCCACGCTATCCAGCACTGCCAGATCTAGCAAATAAAAATACAGGACGCTCAGTGAAATTTGAAGTGTAAGTATACCCCGTGCAATATTTGGGGCATCCACTGTTCTCACAGGACTAAGATGTTATTCTGTATTTGTCTGAAATTCAAATTTGACTGGGTGTCCTGTATTTTAGCTGGCAACCCCAATTTTATCGCATGTGTAGAGAATCACGTGACCACCACCGTAATCAAGACACAGAACTGTTCCAGCACCACAAAGGTGTTCCTGGTGCTGTTCCTTTAGAGTCACACCGAGCCCTGCCCTCACCCTCCCGAGCCCTTGGCTACCACTACCCTGTTCTCCATCTCGAGCATTTTGTCATTTTTTTCACACAGCATAATGCCCATGAGACCCATCCAAGTTGTTGTTATCAATAGTTTGTTCCTTTTTTTTTTTTTAAGGATTTTATTTTTCCTTTTTCTCCCCAAAGTCCCCTGGTACATAGTTGTATATTTTTTCGTTGTGGGTCCTTCTAGTTGTGGCATGTGGGACACCGCCTCAGCATGGCCTGATGAGCGGTGCCATGTCCGCGCCCAGGATTCGAACCGGCAAAACCCTGGGCTGCCGAAGCGGAGCGCACAAACTTAACCAATCCTAATTTACTTAGTTTTTAAAAGTAGGTAATACATGTACATAGAGAAAAATCTGAAAAGTGCAAAAGGATTTACAGGGAAAGGAAGTACCCCTTCCACCCCAGACCCTCAGCCACCCCATTTCTCCTTCCCAGAGTCGGTTACCATGTTCTTGTGACTGCTGACATATTTTAAACATATAAGAATATAAGTGTGTGCATCTGGATGTTTACCCACACAAATGGCAGCATACCTGCTGTTCTGCCCTTCATTTTTTCACTTGGTAGTGTATCTTGGAAGCTGTTCCCTGTTGGTACCTCTTGTACTTCCTTCTCTTTAACCATGTAAAGTACTTTTTAATCCTCCCTCCTAGAACATAATTGGTTGGAAATTAGAATCTTGCCTGAGCTACTCACCTCAAGGCATTCTGGGATTTGTAGTCCTTAATCAGTTGAATCCAGCATAGGAAACAGGACTTGAGCAGAAGACATGTGTTGGAAACTAAAGAGCCCTTCCAACGATGCTGTTGGAGGACACATTGTCCCGTGTTATGCAAGTTCCTATCATTATACCTAGAAGCAAATTATGTATTCATTTAAACAACCAAGATATCTACCAGCAATGAGATACCCAGAAGTGTCTTGGCATCTGGAAATCAAGAAGATCTGATTCAGCCCCCTCTAAATGCACCCATTTTAGCAGATGGGCAGGACACACACACACACACTCCGCAATAAACGAATAATGGTAGCATTGTAAACACAGCTAAGGTGAGGAGGGCAAGATTTTCTCGGGAGGCTGAGGGCAAGAATGATTCTCAGAAACTATTCTTGGATAGCTAAGGTGCCCCCCTTGGCCTTCCCACTTCATATTCAGTACCATTCCCTTATCTAGAGATGACCACTCTCCTTCCAAACCTGTTTCCATGCATTCACATATATATTTATATAAAGTCTAGAAATTTAGCTCATTATGTGAGTTTTACCTAAATGCAGTTGCCCTGTAAATATTATTCTGGAAATTGCTTTTTTCCACTTAACAATATATTTTGGAACTTTTTTCTACGATAATACATAAAGATTGACTTTGCGTTATTTTTTACTGCCACATGGTCCTCTGAAACATGGTGTCTCAAACTTTAAAGTGCCTTCAGATCATCTAGGGATCTTGTTAACACGGAGATTCTCATTCGGTAGCTCTGGGGTCAGCCCTGAGGGTCTGCATTTCTAAAACGTTCCCAGGTGTTGTAGATGCTGCAGGTCAACAAATCACACGTTGAGGAACAAAGACATAGGGTCTGAGTGAAGTTGTGTGCTAGAGCCGACTTGGACCAGGTCATAAGAATTGATTGTCAAATTTCCAGGAATTTTGTGATCCCATTGTTATACATAGCAATCATTAAAAAATTCAGTTATATAAACTTACTATTAAAAAAGTTATATTACAAACATAAATACTCAGAAATCATCACTGTCAACTATTTTAATATCAATCTATGCTCTTGAGGTTATTTACGTCGATTATATCTATACGGTGGAAATCTATACGACGGTATTCTTTTGCACATCCCTTCCCAACTCCATGTTCAGCTCGTGTTGGCAGCTTGGAAGCAGCCCCAGTGAGTGTTGACACCACAGAAATTAGGTAGAAAGGCATGCATTACCCCAAGCCTTCTCCAACACTTGATATTACCAGTGTTTTTCATTTTTGTTAATCTGACAAATCAAAAATGGTATCTCATTTTTAACTTGTATTTCGCTGATTATAGTGAGACTCGATCTCTCTTACATTCATTCCTAGGAATTTAATAGTATTTCTTGTTCTTCTAAATGGGACCTTTTTATTATCCAATTATCTAGTTTATTATTGTAAAGGAAAGCTGATGATTTTTAAAATCAGGTTACCTTCCGAACAATTCTAATAGCTGGTCAGTTTATTTTCTTGAAGGTTCTAAGGTATCATATAAGCTACAAGTAACGACAAACTTTACTTTTCCACATATATAATTGTTTATTTTAGTCCACATTGACTCCCAGCGCTAACAGCTCCATCAGTGTCTTACTTCTGATCTGAACAGGAGTGCTTCTGACTCCCCCACTAATGTCTGCTGTAGATTTCTGGCAGACAGCTGTTACCCTTTCTCTTCCTGAGTTCTTAAGATTTTGTTTTGGTTTTTATCACGAATGGATGTTCAATTTACCAAACGTTTACTTTCTCTTTCTAAGTTATCCGCTTTGGTGATGTTTGAATTTCTCACATTAACATGAACTCTTTTTTGTCATCAGAAGAACACGAAAGAGTTCCCTTAGTTGTCTCCTTCCCTGATACGTTGTCCCCCTGTTTCACCTCTTTTCGCTGCCCTTGAATGTGTCCCTTCCCCAGTAGCCAGCCTCTGGCTCCTCAGAGGAAAAGGATATTCTCTCCAGGTCCCACTCAGCACTGAAACTTTATACATAATGACATTTCAATAAGTGGTTAGGGAATGCCATGAATTTAACCCATCACCTGGTGTGTATATTCTTGAACACTCCCCTGCTATATCAACTCCTTTGAAGTGAGGGCTGCTGGACCTTCCAGCTACTCCCCCAGGCAGTCCCACCCCAGTATGTAAAAGGCAGATTGCTTCGTTCACCTGTAATCCCTGGAGTGTTGACAACACTCCTGTGTTATCAGGTGGGTCCTGTTTTGAACCTGGGAGCCACCAAGAGTTCTGATCAGAATCTATGGCTAGGCAGGTGTCTGGGTTTTTTAAATTGCTGCTCACCACTCTTAACTTAGGAATATTGGAATTGCCACCAAGAACATATGGAATTTGTTTTTTTTCTGTCGTTTTAAGAAGTGGAAAGAGTACAGACAGATACGGGTGATCTTGGGCAAGTCATTAACTTCTGTCCCTCAGGGACCTCCGTGTAATGTAACACTTAAGGTGCAGAGAAAAAGGTCCAGAAAAGATCTGAGAGTGGATTGTTCCAGCTCCCTGGAATCGAATTAATTGAGTCGAAACCCCACCTCTGGCCATTTACTACCTTGGACAGGTTCCTCGTCTCTGTCTTTGGGTTTGTTCATGTATAAGATGGGGACAGTAGAAGTACAAAGTTGATAGGGCAGTTGTGAACATGTTAAGCTTTATCATCAAGCTAAAGCTCATGGCGAGCGCTCCATGAACATGAGCCTTGTTGCTTTCATTATCCCAAGGCTGCCTGTGGAGAGAGAGAACACCTCGTTCAGCACCCGTCTGACCAGGTGAGCTGGCAGGGACCAGTTTTTTCTCGGACTCTCTGACCCTGGTGGGGGGGGCGGGGCGCGAGCGGTTCTCGGCTGTCCTAGCACCTCCGGGACGGCAGAGGGCCCCCGCCACCGCCGCGGGCAGGCGACGAGGGGTGGGGCGGGCCGCGGGGGCGGAGCGGGCGGAGCGCAGGGGCCCCCCAGACCCGACGCGAGCTCAGATCTGGGGCTATGCAGGTACACGTTCCCCGCCCCACACCGACCCGGCGCCTGCTCGGGCCCAAGCTCGGCGGCGCGCCCCAGCCAAAGCGAAACCGAAAGCCCGGCCCGGGTGACCTGACCTTCCTGAGTTGGAAAGGGGCTGTCTGCAGAGACCGGGGTGGCTGGGAGGTGGGTAGTCCCTGGAGACCACGTGGTGCAGGCCGGGCCAGAGCTGGGCGTCCGCTCCGAGTTTGGGAACCGATGGGGATTTCTCAGCTGGGCGGGCACGTGGGAGCCGGCCTTCGGGGGCGGAGCTAAACTCCGATTAGGGGGCGGGCGGTCTTGGACTGGCTGGGCCGGGAGCGCTGGGGTGTGATCCTGTGGCTGGAGGGCCCGAGCTCTCAGTCGGGAGAGGTTCGGCCCGGCATCTGCGCGTCTCGGTGGGGAAAGGGGCGGAAGCAGACGCTTGAGCATTGGAGCGGTCAGTGCAGGGCGTTGGTGCGGGGCAGTACCCGGGGCCTGGCTGATAGGTCAGGGGTCCCAGACCTCGTCGGAGACTGAGCGCCCCCCTCCCCTAGGTGGCCATGAGTGGCAGGGGCGGCAAAGAGGCTGTGCAGGCCGCGGCCCGGGAACTCCTGAAGTTCGTGAACCGGAGCCCCTCTCCTTTCCACGGTAAGTGACCAGTGCAGCGGAGGGGGCTGGGCCGGGGTGCCCCCTACCGCTTTCCATCGCTGTGAGGGGCTTCTTTCCCTGCAGCGGTGGCCGAGTGCCGCAGCCGCCTCCTCCAGGCTGGCTTCCATGAACTCAAGGAGACAGAGACCTGGGATATCAGGCCTGAGAGCAAGGTACCAGGAGTGGGATGGGAGCGGAGAGGCGGGAACCCAGGCTGGGTCTCAAAGTCCTGTGTGCCAGCTGGCTGGCTAATACAACTCAAACTCCCCCCGCACCCCAGTACTTCCTGACCAGGAACTCCTCCACCATCATCGCCTTCGCCGTGGGAGGCCAGTATGTTCCTGGCAATGGGTTCAGCCTCATTGGGGCCCACACGGACAGTCCCTGCCTCCGGGTAAGGAACTGGGGCCCTGCTGGGGTAGGGGTGGTATGAGGAGGAGTACAGGGCAGAAAGAAGTCAGCAGGTACAATTCAGGGTCTCTGTTCTCTAGAGCAGGAAGAAGGCTCCCTCTCCACTTTGGGCCGTTTGTCGCTAATACTCATTTTGTGTTTTTTAGCTTGTGAACAGCCTGTCTCATCTCCAGGTCTTGTCGTGCAGCCTCTGACTTCTCATTCCCTTCCTCACGCTCAGGTGAAACGGCGGTCTCGCCGCAGCCAGGTGGGCTTCCACCAGGTTGGTGTGGAGACCTATGGTGGTGGGATCTGGAGCACCTGGTTTGACCGTGACCTGACCTTGGCTGGACGTGTCATTGTCAAGGTGGGAACTGGGGTTGGACCTTGGAGGTTCTCAGCTTCAGCTGTCTGAAGATTGGCTGTCACCACCTTCAGGGTACCTGTGGAGAGCCCCCCAGGGCAGGGGGGTAGGGGCAGTCCGGGTCCGAGGACCACCTTGGTTTGTCTGGGTTAAGTGGGGGCTCTAGCCAGCTGTGGTTGGGAGATGCCCTGCGCTGACTTGGCCTGGGGGGGCACAGTGCCCCACCTCAGGCCGGCTGGAGCAGCGGCTGGTGCACGTGGACCGGCCCATTCTGCGCATCCCACACCTGGCCATCCATCTGCAGCGAAATGTCAACGAGAACTTTGGGCCCAACATGGAGATGCACTTGTGAGCTTGGGCAAGGGCTGTGGTGCCTGGGAGGGAGGGGGTGTGGCACCAGTGATGGAAGGGGCCCTGGTGGGACCTGGGAGACCACTCCCTCATGGGGGCAACCGTCAGGGTCTCCTCTTGGGACCCAGCTGGGAATCGAAGGGCAAGGGCATTTCCCCATCAGGAGATGCCTGAGCTCAAGGATGCCCTCCAGCCCTCCCCACACCCCAACACGTGTCTCCCCACAGGGTCCCCATTCTTGCCACAGCAGTCCAGGAGGAGCTGGAGAAAGGGACTCCTGAGCCTGGGCCTCTCAATGCTGCAGTAAGAGTCCCTGCCCACGGGGAGGGGTGAGCAGAAGGGGAGAGGGGAGGGAGAGCAGACCCTCCTCCCAGCATCCTTCTACCCTGCAGGATGAGCGGCACCACTCAGTCCTCATGTCCCTTCTCTGCGCCCACCTGGGGCTAAGCCCTGAGAACATTTTGGAGATGGAACTCTGCCTTGCAGACACACAGCCTGCGGTGAGGAGTGGCTGCAGGCACTCGTGGGTGGGGACCTCCGGGATCCCAGCCTGGCCCAGCATGTCCCTGGAGGCATTCATCACCTCTGCCAGTCCCCCCGTTACCCTCATTCCTGTTCTTGCCAGTAGATGCCACCGCCCTCTGTCTCCAGGGCAGTGGTTCTCCAAAGGCCAGTTTCCCACTGCAGACCTGCCTACCTGGACTGTCTGGGCTGGGGCCTGGGCCTCGGCCTTTCCACAGATTCCCCAGGAATTTCTGCCACAGGCGGTCTCTGTTCACTCTGACCCATGCTGGCCCGAACCTCTGAGGGCAAGAGGCCTGGCTGTGGCTGCCCTTTTTCTGGATCCTGTCCTCGTGTCACTCCCAGTTGTTGACAGTAGGAGATTGCCAAGGCCGATCTGAATGTGCACTACGTTGGTCTCCTCCTCTGCTATTTCCTTAGCTTTTCTTGGGACTGTTCAGCCCTTCCCTTTTCCTGTCCCACAGGAAGTGGTTGGGAACTACAGGCCTCTACCACCACCACCCACCCACGCCCCCCTCCCCCGTCCCTCAGCTCTAGCCCAGCCCCCTTCACCATGCTCTGCTTAGCCCTGCACAGTGGGGGTCATAGTGCCCTAAGCCAGGGATCAGGGAGACATTGCACAAGGAGCCAGAGAGGCCCGCTCAAACTCAGTCCCTGGGGAGCAGGGAGAACCCGGTGAGTCAGGGCACAGGATCCAAGGTCCAGCTGAGTGTCTTGTCTTTCTAGGTCCTGGGTGGGGCCTATGAGGAGTTCATCTTTGCCCCTCGGCTGGATAATCTGCACAGCTGCTTCTGTGCCCTGCAGGTAACGGGCTGGGGCGCCCCCAGGTGGCACACACCACCAGGGGAGGCAGACAGTCTTGTAGGGGGTGGGGAGTGCTGCCTCAAGCCCTAGCAGGTTGTGACATGGCTGCTGGCCACCCCCGCAGTCTGCTGGTGCCGGGTGGACCGTGGGGAGGGGCGTAAATGCTGCAGCCTCAGCATCTCCTGTGGCCCCATCCTTGCGCTGGCCTTGGGCCAGGGCTGAGGTGGGGGAAGGCTGAGAGGCTGAGGGCACCAGTGTCTTGTCCTAACCCTGCTCTTGTGGCTTCTCCTTTCAGTTAACCTCTGATTTGGGGAGAGGCCTTGCATGCCATAAGGCAGTGTCATCCACCTCCCTCTGCTCCCCCAACCCCAGACACAAGCCCCGCCAGCCCTCTCTCTGTGCCTTGGGAGCTCAGTGGGGTGGTCTCTTCTTCCCAGCCACCTTGATATTCCCCACTTTCTTTCTACCGTAGTCAGTTCCTTCTCGCCCGTCCTCTCCCTTCCCTCTCTCCTTTGACACCTCTCTTCCCTCCCTGTCCTGTCCTTGGACACGGGCTTTGGGCTGTAATTAAGACTAGAACCAGACCTTGGACTCTTTTCTGCTGAGTCACGTCACCTTGACGGAGCTGCAGTCCCCTCCTGGGACCTCGATCTTTTCGCTGGGGCCAATTAGTTTACCCGATCTGTTTGGTGCTTTTGACTTTCCAGGATTCTCAGCCCTTCCCCTCCCCCTCACACATCCTCCTGCCTTTTGCGTGGGAAGGTACAGGAGAATACCCAAAGGGTGGCTTCTCCCATTCCTTTGAAAAGGTCCCCCACGCGCCCTCTGCCGGGCAGTGCCCTGAGAGAGGAGGGCCAGTGGCTTCTCTCCGACCTTGACTATGGGAGGCTGGTGGTGAGTGTCAGCTCCGAGGTTATGAAGAAGTGGGCTGAGGATGATGCCCCGCTCCCTCCCCACACCAGGCCTTGATCGACTCCTGTGCAAACCCTGCCTCCCTGGCCTCGGAGCCCCACGTGCGCATGATTGCTCTCTACGACAACGAAGAGGTACTTAGAGGGCCCTGGGAGGGTCCCCTCTGGAGTCTCCTGCAGTCCCCTTGTACCAGGCGCCCACCGTGAGCCAGGGCTGTTGGGGAGGCCACAGCCACGGGGGAGACACTACCTGTGCTTCTAAGCGTGACATACCTCCCGTATATCTCAGTGCCGCGTGTGAGCTCCTGGAGGACAGGGACTCGCCGTCTCATCCTCGTGGCCCCAGGGCTCAGCACGTGGTGGGTCCTCCTGTACGTGCTTGTGTTAGGGTGCGGTCTTAGATGCTGCAACAGGGCGTGAACGTGGGGCTAGTTCTCTCGTGTGACTGCACAGGTCAGAGTTAGCAGTTCAGGGCAGGTCTCTGATGTCCTGAACACACAGCTGCCATCTCAGGGTCCTGGGGGCCATTCCAGCTCCTGCCATCATGTCTACTCTGAGGTAGTAGGCAGGGAGAGAGGGCAGAGCGGGAGTGTACACCCGTCTTTTTCAGGGTGTGACCCAGAGGTGGGCTTCATCGCTGCCTGCGTTCCATTGAACTTTCCATGTTTAGCTGCAAGGGAAGCTGGGAAGGTCGTGTCCAGCTGAGTAGTTGCATGCTTAGCTACAACCCCGGTGTTCTGTTATAGAAGACACCATGGCAGTTAGCAGTCTGTGTCACATACATAAAAGACCGACTGGGGTGGTGGGGCCCCTGTGCTGAGCCCTGGGTGTGAGGGTCGGGGAGAAGGAGGGGAGACACTGTGGGAAGCCCACCCACAGGTGCTGTTTCTGCCCCAGAGATGACTGTGGGTTAGTTTGGGCCCCACCCACCATCATTAACACCCTCCGTTCTCCACCCACTGACTCAGAGGGGCCCTGGGCCAGTCTGGGCATCGGGCCCCTCTCCCTGGCCTCTAGCCCAGACCCCAGAGCAAGGTCTCTGCTGTCGACAGGTGGGGTCCGAGAGCGCCCAGGGGGCGCAGTCACTGCTGACGGAGCTGGTGCTGCGGCGGATCTCAGCGTCGCCCCAGCACCTGACGGCCTTCGAGGAAGCCATCCCCAAGTCCTACATGATCAGCGCGGACATGGCCCACGCCGTACACCCCAACTACCTGTGCGTCCGCCCTGCTGGGCTCCGACCTCACACAGCTGGAGGCCTCAGGCTGTGCCCGGCCCTGGTCTCTCCCCTCCTCCTTCTTCCTTATTCTGCCGGGAGGTTCAGTGGGGACTTCCTTTTGCCTGCTCCAAGGCCCAACTTGGTCAAAGTCATGTAATACCTAACCCAGTTTGTTGAATAGGCTCTATCTACAAACTTATTTCCATCTATTGCTAGAGGCTGCCTGGAGCACTGTGTTGAGCATGCCTCTGAGGTCCTGCCGGGCTGAGTGGAAAAGCATGCTGTGATCCGTTGGTCGTGTCTGCCTTGGGAGGGGTGGTGGGTGTTGACAGGCCCAGCTCCTGTTTGCCATCCCTGGCCCTTCATCCATCTCTTACAGGGACAAGCATGAGGAGAACCACCGGCCCTTATTCCACAAGGTGAGGTGCCCCTGATCTCTTTAGGGACCGGAGGCCTGGCTGGGTCTGGGCCCCATCTCGTTCCCTCTGGGCCTGTCACCGTCTCTGCCTCACCCTCGATTCCTGGTCTCCTTCTCCCCAGGGCCCTGTGATCAAGGTGAACAGCAAGCAACGCTATGCCTCGAACGCGGTCTCAGAGGCTCTCATCCGAGAGGTGGCCAGCAGCGTCGGGGTGCCCCTGCAGGTGAGGGCGGGCCCTGCCTGGGAAGATGTGAGGGCGAGAGTGGGCTCCAGGGCACCAGCAGATGGGCCCCCTGTGAGAGGGGAGCCTGGTAGACAACCTTTAGTGGACAGGGTCCCAGTGGAATGAGGAGAACAGGGGTTGTGGATGTGGGCAGAGCTGGGACCAGTGCTGGCTCTGCTGCAGGGCTCACCCTGTGACCCTGGACTTGTCTCCTGATCTCTGAGTCTCAGTTTCCACTCCTGTACAATGGGGCTGATAATGATGCCTCCCTGTGTCTCCTTACACCCCCGGGGGGCTTCCATGAGAGTAGTTCAGGGCTGGGCAGCCTGGCACTCCACCTGCTCATTTTCACTCTTGCCTTGGCAATGGCCCATCTAGCCATAGGTGTATATATATAGAGAGAGAGATAATACGTGTAATACACATGATGTGTGTATTAGGGAGTGCGGCCCGGGTGGTCCAGGGACAGACACAGCAGGCAGGTCCTGGTGAGTCAAGACTAGCACCCTGGCCCCCTGACTCGCAGCTCAGGGCTCCCTCTACTGCACAGCCCTGCCCTGCCCGGTGTAGAGCTGTTGTTCACTCTCAGGAGGGCCTCTCTGAGGAGGTGACGCTTGAGCTTCTAACTATTCTATTAAGAGAAGCAGCCATGGGCAAGTCTGGAGGAGGAGCTTCCTGGCCAGAGGGAACAAGTGCAGAAGCCCCAGGGGACAGGCGGGAGCTTGGTCTGTTGGAAGGAGACAGGCAGAGCGGGAGGGGGAGCCCGTGCAGGCCGGGCGCATGTGGCGCAGGCCTCCAGGGCCTGGAAGGGGTTGCATCTTTGATCTTCTAAGGCAGTGGGAAGACGTTGCGGGACTTTTCTTTAATCACTTGCAGCCGAAGGAGGCCATGTGTACTTTAGAAAATTAGAAGACACAAACAGAAAAAACAAAACATGAATGGAGATCTGTGTATATTCTTCCTGATTTTTTTCTCTGCATAGACTTAACACACATTTTTAAAAAATGAAATTATAGTGGATATATTTTTCACTTCCTCTTTGCACTCAGGACTCTCCACTGTTCTGTTTCAGTCAATTTGTATCTCATCAAATGCACAGATCGTTTTCAATTTCCCCAAAATATTCTTTACGGTTGTCTGCCCCACCTTAGTCTCCAGTCCAGGGCCACATGTCGTTATTTCTGGCGGGTACATGGCTTAAATGGCTTTTAATCTAGCACAGCCTCCCCTCCATTTTTTTTAAACATTGACTTGTTGAAGAAACCAGCCTGATCATCCCACGTAATGTCTCACTTCCCGGATTGTCTGGTTCCTTCCTCATGGTGCTTCTAGCTTGTGCCTCTGGCCCCCGTATTCCCTGTAAACTGGAATTCATCCCTAAAGCTTGATGTGTTCAAGGTAAACATTTTTGGCCAGAAGATGTCATGATGGGTGTCCTCCATGTTGCATCATGCACATAGTATCTGGCTGATCCGCCCCAGGGATGATAAGATGGACCACTGGATTGGGTGGGTGGTCCATCCCTCCATCATATGGGGCTTCTCCTCCTTTGACTGGACAGTAACCTGTACAAGGGATGACTTCCCCCTCAACCAGACATCTAGTGGTTTTAAGACTACTTGATAATCCCAGCCTAAATCAGTTCATTAGTTTACTGAAAAATGTTACCCCACAATTCATCCCTTCTACATTTCATCCCTTTTACATTTATTAGCTGCCATCTTCCTGTGACGTGGAGCTTTTTCCCTCATTCACTAGGGCTTTTTGGTTATCATGAAGTATGGTTCCTACTGGAAAGACAAAAAAAAATGCTAATTATTTCCCTTTAATGACAGTCTTCAAGATGAGGTGTTTGAATGGCCACCTTCAATGATGACAAATACTAAGGGGTTTTTTTGGTTTCCCTTTTCTGACTATCATTATAAAATCATAGGTTTTCGTTGGTTCGATGTGATCTGATGCACTATAATCATTTTATTTCATCCTCAAGTTGTCCTAACTTTGGCCAGCAGGAGCTTTTTCAGTGGAGCTCCTGTGTCCTTTGACACAGCTCCTGAAAGTTTTCTTGCTTTTTGCTACAACGAGAAATTGCAGCTCCTGCTGTTCATTTCTCTTCCCAGACTTGGTTGCTTTGGATGGATGGTGATATTAGGGACCATGTCTGGCAGGAGTGTTCACTGGTTTTTTTGGGGGGAGGGACAGTGCTTTTGGGTCATTTCTGTGAACATAGCTAGACAAAAATACATGTATTTTGAAAATCATGAGTTAATACTATAATTCTTATTCAAAAAATAAGAATAGTTATTAATTTATTGGATTTTATAATTCTGTTTTCCCTTAGACTGAAAATTGTGATATCTAACATCATATTATGATTTTATTTACTTTTTTATGAAAGTATAAAGGAAAGAGTTTCCAAATGCCAGTAGCAGTCTTTTTAAAAACACTAAAACTACTGAGTGGTTTTTTGTGTGTCTGTGGAGGGTGGAGTGTGTGTCAAGCAAGAAGGTGACATAAAGGATACGTGTTTTTCTTCAGTCCCTTTGCCTGCTGTGTGGAGAGCGGATTCTTTATAGGAGGCAAAATGATAGCAGCTGGAACTAGGGTGGTGGTAGCACAGATGGAGAGAAGGGGGCCCATTCAGAACGTTCTGTCCTTTGTACTGCCAGTTCGTCTTGGCTTTGTGGTTTTCTGCCGGTCACCTCCACTCTCCGAGGGGGTAGAAGTGGGCCATCTGCCAGGCCCCGTCCAGCCTTGCAGTTCCAAGGTGACATCCTCCTCGGCCTTGAGGAGCACTTCTACGTGTTGCTCATGAACCTCTCCTCCGCTCCCCAGGATCTCATGGTCCGGAATGACTCCCCATGTGGCTCCACCATTGGACCCATCTTGGCTTCTCGGCTGGGGCTGCGGGTACTGGATCTAGGCAGCCCGCAGCTGGCCATGCACTCCATCCGGGAGACCGCCTGCACCACAGGAGTCCTCCAGACCCTCACGCTCTTCAAGGTACTCCCACCTCACCCATCACCATGGCAGCTGGGCCCCTTGCCCCTCTAGTGCCTGGAATGGTTGCTGGGGCAACATCACCATCACTAAATGGCTGGCCTAGGTGATGGGGCTGGTGGTCTTGGTGCTGCCGTGTGGGAAAAGAACGGTCCCCATTCTTCTCAAGGCCCTGGGCCCTGATCAGCCCCTAGAGGATAATGAGAGGACAGAGGGGATCAGGGAGGGCAAGAGTGGGGCAGTTGTCACGTGTGGGTGAAGCAACTCTGCCTCTCTTTGGGGCCTGTGTTGGCGGGAGGTGAGCAGCGGGGCGTCTCCATCTGGTCTGCGCTAATTCCAAACCCTGTGTTCCCTCCCAATGTAGGGCTTCTTTGAGCTGTTCCCTTCTCTGAGCCGTAACCTCTTAGTGGACTGAGCCCTCTTGGAAAGACTTGCACTTGAGAGGGGAAGTTCTCAGCTGAGCTGAAGCTGGATTATTAAAGCGGATTTTTCACTCAGACTCAGTCTGTTGTACTTCTTTGGAGACTAGAGGGGTGGGAGTTGAGCCTGGCTTGAACCTCTGGAACTGGAACAGAGCGGGAGGTTGGGGTGCAGGCTGAGGAGGCCACAGATCCTGGGAGCTGACGGAAGCCTGATTTCAAGTATTTCTTCCTTAAGCTCACGCCTGAAGTGGGTGAAGGGTGGGTGGGTCCCCAACTGGAAGGTTACTTCTGCTTTCATGCCCGTCCTCCTCCTTGGCAGTGGCCTCCATGCTCTTCCCTCCTTCCTTTCCCAGAATAGACCAGGAGCCTAGCTTGGCCTCTGAGGTCTCAGGGCTCAGGCATTAGGCTCCCCCCAGAGTTGCCCTGGGCAGCCCAGGCTGTTTCCCACCCTCCCTCAACTCCTCCCGACCCCTCCCAGGTGCTACGAAGAGAAGGGCGCAGTCTAGGCGTAAGCATCACCATCATCCGCCTCACTTCCCAGCAGCCACTGTGTCATTGGTCGTATATTACCAGGGAAAAAGATTATCACCGACAATCAATAGGAAAAGTCAAAGTCTGCTTATAAACACTTCCATCAAAATAACTCTGCTAACTGGTGTTTTTCCATTTTTTTGGATACCAATAGAAAAATTACTTTTTATATGAATAGGACAATTGAAGTTTTTTAAATGCTTAATATGATGAATAAAACAATAATAATGCTGATGGAGTTTAAAATATATATAACTAAACTGTATCACCACAATAGCATAAAACTCAGGCGAGATCAGCAAGTTCAGGTGTACTAAGTGTCTTGCAATGTCCGGGAGAGAGTGAAGGAATCAATTCATACTGTGCTTTGAAGTCAAAGATACATACTGTAATTTTTAGGAAAACTACTAAAAGAATTTAGAAAGTATTTATAGCTTCTGTTATGGGTCGAATTGTGTCCCCTGAAAAGATGTTGAAATTCTCCCCCTGGCACCTGTCAATGTGATCTGATTGGGAAATAGGGTCTTTGGCAGATGGTCAAGATGAGGTCATTAGAGTGGGCCCTAATCCAGTATGACTGTGTCCTTATGAAAGGGGGAAACATGGACACAGACGTGCAGAGGGAAGAAGATGTGAAGACACAGGGAGAGGGCCATGTGAAAATGGAGTGGAGGGGCCTCTACAGCCAGGAGAGCCAGAGGCCGCTGGAGGCCAGGAAGGTTTCCCCTACAGGTTACGGAAGGAGCATGGCGGCCGACACCTGGGTTTTGGTCTTCTGGCCTCCAGAACTGCGAGATGATAAATTTCTATTGTTTTAAGCCAGCCAATTTGTGGTACTTTGTTTCATCAGCCTTGGGAAACTAATATAACTTCAAACTAATTGAGTGGGGAAAATGGGATAATAAAAACAATTGGTCCATTCTGCAACTTAACTTCAAATGGTTCGGCAAAACCACATTATGCTTGTGTGTGGGTAATATAAAACGGTGAAATGGGTTGACTCTGGGTCTATACGTGGAGAGACTGGGTGTTTGTTGTACTATTCTTTCAAATTTTTTGTGTTTGAACATGTTTATACTAACAGTGTGGGGATAAATTTTTAAAATTCAATCCAAAAGAAGGGGAGAAATGAGAAAAAAGAGAAAGTGAAGCAACGGAAAGCTCTTAATAAAGTGGCAGACTGAATCCAAATATGTCCAGTTATAACATTCAGAATAAGTGGACTAATAATATCTCAATATGGTTGTTATTTTAAAAAAATAGACTACATAGTTAAAATACAAGGCTTGTCAGACTCGATATCAAAAAATTACAGCTGTTTGCAAGAGATACACCTAAAACAAAAAGATACAGAAGATTGACAAAACATTACTAAAGATTGATTTTGTGTGCTTTTGAATTCCACAAAAGGAATTTACATTCCAAATTTCACATATGGAACCATATTTACTCTTTTTTTGTCTAGATTCTTTTCAAACTTGTCAAGCTTTTTTTCGTCAACATAATATTCTTGAGATTTATCTGTGTTGTTGCATGTGGAAGTAGTTCTTTCTTATTATTGCTGAATAATAATCCTTTATGTGAGTATACTGTGATTTCTTTATCCATTCTCCTACTGATCACACTTGGGTTGCTTCCGTTGTTTGACTGTGATGAATAAAGCTCTTATGAACGTTCTTATACAAGCATATTTGTAGACAAGTACTCATTACTCTTGGATATTTACCTAGGAGTAGAATTGCTAGATTATAGGGTACATGCATAATTTATGAGAAATTGCCAAACAATTTTACAAAGTGGCTATGCCATTTTACACACCCACCAGAGATACATGAGAGTTCCAGTTGCTGTGTACCCTTGTCAACGCTTGGTATTCTGGTCTTTTTCATTTTAGCCATTTTGTTGGGTATGTAGTGGTAACTTATTTTTGTTTTAATTTGCATTTCCCTGATGAGTAATGTTGAGCTTTTTTGAGGAAGATTAGTCCTGAGCTAACATCCACTACCAATCTTTCTCTTTTTGCTGAGGAAGATTGGCCCTGAGCTAACATCTGTGCCCATCTTCCTCTACTTTATATGTGGGACACCTGCCGCAGCGTGGTTTGATAAGCGGTGTGTAGGTCTGTACCCAGGGCTTGAACTGGCAAACCTCAGGCCAGCAAAGTGGAACATGCAAACTTAACCACTATGCCACTGGGCTGGCCCCCATTGAGCATTTTTTTATGTACTTATTGGCCATTTGGCTGGCATTGTTTGTGAAGTCACCATTCAAATATTTTGCCCATATTCATTGGATCATTGGTCCTATTCTTATTGATTTATATATTGAATATACATACATGCATACACACACACACAAAGGACTTATCTTCTGAATGTATGTGTATGTATATTCAGAATACAAATCCTTTTTTAGATATATGCATCACAAACATTGTCCCCCATGTGTCGCTAATGAAGGCTCTTCATTTTAAAAATACTTTTCAATTTTATTGAGGTATAATTTACACACAATAAATCAGACCCGTTTGAAGTGTACAATTCTATGAATTTTGACAGATACAGACACCTGAGAAAACACCTCCACAATCAAGATAGAGATCATTTCCATCACCCCCCAAAAGTTTCCACGTACCCTTTGCAATCATTGAATCTCTCCACCCCAAGCCCCAAGCAACCACTGAGCTGCTGTCTGTCACTATAGATTAGTTTGTGTTTTCTAGAATTTTATATAAATAGAATCATGCAGTATGTGCTTTTTGTGCCTGGTACATAACCCTATGATTGTTTCTCCTTAGGCCTATTAACATGGAGAATTATGCTGATGGATTTTTCCTAACATTGAGCCATACTTACGTCCCCGGAATAAGTCCCACTTGGTCACATCATATTGTTTCTTAATGGGCCATTGATTGCCTTTGACATTTTATTTAGGATTTTTGCATCTATATCCAGAAGTAAGATCAATTTGCGGAGTTTTTTGCATGTCTGTCAGGTTTAGGTGTTCATGTTACTCTTGGTTCATAAAAAGAATTTGGAAGTTTCCCTGTTGGTTTTTTTAATGCTCTGAGCAATTTAAATCACATTAGGATTACCTGACTTCTGAAAATGTGTAGAATTCCTCTGCGAAATCATACGGACTTGATGTTGCTTTGTGGAAAAGTTCCTCCATAACTTTCTCTATTTGTTGTATGGAAATTGGTGTAAGTGTTCTACCTCTAATGGCATCAATTTTCGTAAATTTTATGTTTTCAGGAATATCATTTTATCTAGGTGTTCACACTTATTTGCATGGTTCTGTAAAGCAGTCTCTTATTAAATTTTTTTCCTCTAGTTAGTAATTTCCCCATCATTTCTCTTTTTTCTCTTTCTTTCTCTTTCATTTTTTTCTTTTCCTCTTTTTTTCTTCCTCTTCCTTCTCTTCCATGCCCTCTTCCTTTTACTTGTATTTGTTTGTTCTCCTTTTTTGTCTTAAGTGAGCCAGTAGTTTGCCTATTTGGTGGGTTTTTTCCAACTACCAGCGGTTTTATTTATTTGTTAGTGCTAAGTGTGTTGGTGGTAAACCCTGGTACGCTGGAGCATCATGATTACCGACTTTCGCTGGCTGAGGAAGCAGCGGTGGCTGTCCTCCCTGGGCCAGGTCGATGGTGGCAATGCTGCTTCGGAGCTGAGCTCCCAACGTGGATGTGAGAACAGGATTACAGGATAGCGGAGACCAGGTGGCAGCGCTTTGCTTCCGGAGTTTGCAGTACTTTCTGTCTCCTAATTATGCTGTAAGCATGAGTTATGAGTATTTTTATTTCTTTCTCCTTTCGTTGAAATGAATGATTTTTGGAGGATGTATAGAGAGATTTGGGCTTAGGCAGCTGCTATCACTTGCTGGGGACTGCAAATGCTATTTAATAGTAAAATGCTGAAGGTGTTTGTGGAAGACACTGTCGGTAACCCGCCTGTGTCCCCACTTTTACCACTTCAGTGCTCTTGTCCCCACTTCCAACTGCCAATATCTGCACTCCTTTGCCTGAGGACACTCTGGCTGCTTGACTATGGTTTTGCACTCGCGCGGCAGTTGGAAGTGCCAGGGAACTAATGCTCCCTACCCTGAGCATCTCTAACCAGTGACTGACAAGACTCTGCGTGAACCTGACTCATCTTGGGCGAGATAACTCTGATGCGCGTAGTTTACACTGGCTCCCAGAATTGAACTCCGGAACTAAGTCTGATAACACACCCCTTTATTGGCCACCTTCCCCTCCTTGTCACTTCCCCACGCCCCTACCCCTGTTTTCCTTCACGTCCCAAATGAACTCCTTGCACCCAGATCCTCGTCTCAGGTCTGCTTCTGGGGAAACCTAAAGCGAGTTAGAATTCCTCTGAGACTGAGAATAAGGCAAGGATGCCTGCTGTTCTGTTTCTGGTCAACATTGCACTGTGGGTCCTTGGCTGGGTAACAAAGTGAGAAAGGAATAAAAGACAGAAGGGCTGGAAAGGGAGGAATAAACTTCCTTTTGATAGGATTTGTTATGTAGAAAATCCAAAAGATAGAG